TCAAATGAACGGAATAACAGATTTAAATACTTGGAAGTTTTGGCTTCACATGGTCTGCTCCCTGGTCATTACCTACTCACTAGGGGAAACAGTTGCCTTGATCATGTTGTCCTAAAGCCAGAGAAAACTAAAAACTCTGCAACTATTGTAGTTCTTGACAGTACAATAACAGATCACTTCATGGTGACTCTAAATATGTCGAATTTAACAAATGAAATATTTCCCAAATCAAATACTAGAAATTATGTCAATTATAATAATACATACAGTGCCCTTATCAGTAATGATATTTCCTAATTTAATACATGTAATGATCCAAATATATTGGCAAATAAACTTGTAAACATGATAAAAATGGCTTTCGTTACAAATACTAAAATAAGGATAGTTTCATCAGGTAAACGCATGTTAAAACCGTGGGTGACTAGCGGTGTCCTACGCTGTATTAGGCTGAGAAATAACATGCAGTATAAACTAAGACAAGAACCAGAAAATAAAATTTTACAAATTACATTACATATAAACGCTTTCGTAACTATTGTGTAAATTTGTTGAGAAAACTTAAAACACAATATAATAAGAAAAAAAATTGAGGACTCAACAAAATACAACAAAGAGCTGTGGTCAACAATAAATGAAGTAAGTCAATTCAGGGCTCCAAAGAGTTCAAACTTAAAATTCTTAAATATGTTACCAAACCCCATAGATTCGATAAGCCGTGTAAATCAATTTTTTATTAGTATTGGAAGTACTTTAGCTGAAGATATTATTTCTAACTTTGGTATACAATTGAATAAAGTGAATACTACCATACAAACATCTTCATTCGTTCTGATGGAAACTGACCCTGAGGAAGTAAATGGGATTCTTATGAATCTTGATTCTAGTAGTTCTCCTGGTTGGGATTACATTCCCACGAAATTTGTTAAGCAAGCTAGAGATTTTCTTGTGCCTCTTATAAGTCGATTGGCTAAATTGTGTTTTGGAATGTGTAAATTTCCTGTGGTTTTTAAACGCTCTATTGTTACACCGGTTCATAAGGGTGGAGACGTAAATGATGTAAATAATCATAGACCTATATCTGTACTTCCCTGATTCTCTAAAATACTAGAGAAGTTATTAAACAAAAGACTTGTTAAATATTTAACTTCTTACAACATTATTTCAAACTCCCAATATGGTTTTAGAAAAGGACTTTCCACTCAAGATGCTGTTTTAGATTTAACCAAATTAATTACTGAAAAAGTTGATAACGGATATAAGTGCCTTACTGTCTTTATAGATCTTAAAAAAGCATCAGAAAATTGATGTGGATTTTTAGAGCACTTCGAAATATAATGACAAAAAAGCTTTTAAATAGGGTTTACATAGCACTTGTTCAATCGATTATAACCTATTGTATTCCGGTCTGGGGTGGAGCTACAAAAATGAAATTACTAGTACTTGAAAGGTCTCAAAGATTACTTATTAAAATAATGCACTCCAAACAAAATAAATACTCAACAGAAAGACTTTATAGTGACTGTAATTTGCTTACGATTAGAAAATTGTATATTTTAATGATTATTTTGAAAATACACAAAACTTTAGACTTTGATCCAAAAAAAACTTAATAGGCGACGTAGTTATGTTGTGGTCAAATCATCTAGGAGTCATACAGCCTTCGCAGAACATCAATATTACAGTCAATCAGCTTATTTATATAATAAATTAAATATATATGATAAATAGTTGTACGAATGTAAAGACATAATAATAGAATTCTTAAAAACTATTACATATGAGGAAACTGAGGACATATTGAAAAAAATTATTTAAATAAGTACTATGTGTATGTCGCAGCCGAGTGGTGTAGTTGGCCGGCCGACTGGGTGGCTAGCACTTCAATAAAGCTGGCCGCCCGGTTGGTTGTTTCTGTGGTTGGCTGATTGTGCCGCTTGGCTGCGACATATACATCCAAATTAATATATATGTAGATTACAACACACACCCACAGGCACAACACACAACATAATACACACACTCACAACACACAATACACACATTCACAACACAATACTCACACTCGAATTCATTCATTCATTAATGTTGGTTCTTGTTAACATTAAAGTATTTTATGTTACTTACTGGGACAATTTCAAAATTATAATTGATGGAAATAATGTTATATAAAGAACATGTTGATCTCCTCTGTGCCTCGGATGGGACGCTTAGCCGTTGGTCAGGTCGTTAACACCCACCAATACGCACTGGGCCCGCGTGGTGGGTCATGGCCCATTCTCCCTATTCCATTTTATCCATAGAGACAGCCTGTATCTGAGCTGTGGCTACATTAACAGGGTCGTGATGAAGATGATGAACAAAGAACCTAAAATCATGTGCTTTCAGCGAAAGCAAAACGATATTATAGACGTATTAAGATATATCTTTCACTTACTTTCACTAACCGCCCTCCAGGGGGGTGAGGATGATGAATGGTGGGTAAAATCAGTTCTAATAGGAACTTTTATGATTGATATCCCTATTGTAAAAATCATAAATTAACAAGCACTGCAACAAAAAGTTGTTGGACGTACAGCAGATACAAATGTGTGGACTTAAGATGTTCCAGTGGGAACTTCCAGTTGTGTAGAGTACGTAAACTTGTTATAAACGTAAAAAAATAAACAATAGTACTTTTAAGAAATTCATCTGAATACAGATTTTAGACTTAAATGTACAAATGTTAATGGAATTACCAGATGCCTACGATTGTTTTTGGGGATGAGACTCTTTTACATTTATAACTAACATTAATTCATTAATAGCCTTTCTTAGTTTGTGAACTCCTGATCCTCATCAGGACCTCCTCCGCTTGTCTCCTCACCTTTGTTATATCTTCCGGGGCAAGGCGGTCTCCTCTATCTTTCAACTCAATGCGAGCCTTGTAAACCTTCGATAGGACCCGGACTTCCAGTTTCCACGAAGGCATACCCGCTAGGGCCGCAAACTGATATCATCTGATATGGTGCGGTAAGCGCAGATTGCCTTTGAGGCTACCACCCTCTGCGGTCTTCGCAATAACGCCCAATTTGCAGCATTTAAGTTATCAACCCACAGAGGAGACTCACATATGGCCGTGCTCCGCACAACCCCTGCATACAGGCGGTGACTGGTGACATTAGGGCCATCCAGATTTGGCAGGAGTTTTCCTAGAGACATGGCCTTCTACTTTAATCTTGGAGCCAGCTGCTTGAAGTGGTGAGAGAAAATCCATCGACCATCAAGAAGAAGACCCAATATTTAAGGTGTGGCATCAGGGGTTCAGTTTAGGCCACACCCACCTGGAGGCCTAGTCTCCTAATACGGCGGATAACTTGTTCCGTGGTTACCTCCGCATGGTGCTACCCAGATCAGAATGTTCTCCCCCTCGCCATAACCAGAGTGTCATCTGCGTAACAAACAATATTCATACGAGGGAGGAGGTTAGCACATACCTACTAAGTCTTTGGGTAGCACGAAGCACCATATAGAATCTACCTAAGGTAAGGTCTGGTAACTTCGGTAAGAATAAAAAATATCTTTCCTACTTTTGACTGATAATATCCTATTAATATTATAATGTGAAAGTTTCTTTGTTTGGATGTTTGTCGGTCAATCACGCCGAAACTACTGAACGAATTTTGATGAAATTTGGTATACAGATAGGGTGTTAGCTGACTTAGATAATAGGATACTTTTTGTCCCACTAAACATTTCCCTAGGGTCCACGCGGGCGAAAGCTAGTAATACATAACTATGTTTCTCAACGTGGTAATGAATTATCTATAAAAATTAATAATGGCGCGTTTTATTTTAAATTGAGTTTAAATAAACAATTGTATACATAAATATTTTCTTAATAAAAAATAAATATATATTCATAATTTAAAGACACAATCACTCGGTCTGCAAAATCGCATTATAAAAGAATCACTTTTATACTGTTGTTTCACTCAGGGAGTTGTCTTCTCACTCTATTATATAGGTAAGCGATATATCTATCTCTTTTTATTTACGTTCATGAAACAGCAAGTTTACAGTATATGTGAAAATTAAAGAATCAATAAATAATAATTGGTAATATAGTTTAACTTTTAAGGAATCACAAAAATGGTTTGTTTAAAAAAACAAAAATATTTTTAATTAAAATGTTTAAACATACTGTTCAATTTTTATTTCATTGATATATAAAAAAATATTTTTTACGTTGTTTTCTAGACTAGTTTAATAATAGTTTGATATAATTTCGTTTCACAGAAAATAATGTCCATATTATTATTTCATAGATTACTCAATACGTAAAATGGTTATTTTAAAATTAGATCATTGATTTTTGGTATAAGTAAAATTTATTGTTACGATATTAATATCAAATATGTTATTGTTCGTAATTAAATAATGTAATTTGATATCAACATCAAGTAGTTTGTGTGTAAAAATAAATACTAAAGATATCTCTCAATCAATAGTAAGCCGTTCAATAAAATTTGTTGATGCATCAGCTACTATATTTTATTCATAAATATTTATTACACAGATTTAATTACACCAATAACGTAAAACTATTTATTTTGTGACTAATTACTGTTGTAATCAACATATAATTATGAAATCATTTAATATTCTTTATGTCGAAATGTAATTAATAAACCGTTAACAACATCATGGATATTATGATTAAAACATTTATTGGTTATTATCAAGTGAAATAATAACTAATTTAATAATGAAAACCCACGCATTTAAGGCTGTATTCACGTTGTATTTTTCTTCCATTCTGATTCATACAGCTTATCAATATTTAGCCTACGACGTGCATTCGTGGATCTCATGCTATTTGACCTCAACGCGTTGTGGCAATGAACGTCACGGATTTCGCTATCTTTTAATTTAGTTCGATTTTGACACTGTTTCCTTGTTTATTTTTATAGTTAGAAAATATTTTTGCTTAATATAATAACTTCAGAACTTGCTAACTATATTAAATATCACCCTACCTACAAGAGGGAATCGTACAATTTTCGAAAAACTGTTTTAATTAATGAGTACGAATGCTTATTTCCAAAAAAAAATTTTTTATGTAAATAATCCTTTTTATGTATCGAAAACTATGTAAGACATTTAACTGTAAAAAAAACACGTAGCTGGTGACTTGGACGACGTCATGTAATTTGTAGGGAACACAAAAGGATTTTCAATGAAAAAAAACAAATTATCATGTGCTGTTTTATATTCAACCCTTGTAACTTGTTAAATATTCAGTATATCATTTAAATTGTTTTACATTTTGAATGTTTCCCCAGATATGTTTACTACCAATTTACCCATAAATGACGTCATGCGACGTCATGTGAACACAGACTACAAATATAGAAAAATTATATTTTTGTTTATTGATATCAAAATACAAATCATTAATGTTTAGAAAAAATATTCGGCGTATAATCGATAAACTTAATGAACTTTTTAACCACACTCAATTAATTTTTGCCCATTCCCCAATCACACCAGCCCTTTTACGCCCCCACTGAAGGGGCTCAGGCCTTCCTTATGGATGGTTAAGGAGGATGGGTCATGACCCTCCACGCTGGCCCAATGCGGATTGGAAGGTATTAACGACTGCAAATGCAGCCAGGATCAACGGCTTAACGTGCCTTCCGAAGCACGGAGTAGCTCGAGATAATAATTTTTGGTCACCCATCCCGTGACCGATCCTTGCGAAAGTTGCTTAACGACTACGATGGCGGGCCGCGGCGCTTATCCACTACGCCACCGAGCTACTCCCCACTTTCATCATTCTCGTCATTCCCCACTCATTAACAAATTTTTATATATCAAGAATAAAGTTTATAAATTATAAAATCAATAAAGAACCATTATGCACCCCACTATTAGCAGTTTTCCCATAGCTTTGCCTAGAGTATATGTATGTTTCTTACCCATAGCACTCTAAGTACGATTGAAAGAGAATGCCTAAGGCATTAAGTCCGCCAATTTACATCTAATATGCAAGAAGAATTAAATAATAATAATAATTTTAGAACTTCAAAATGTACACGAATGTTATAAAAAATGTACACGAACAATAAATAGTTTTCATTGAAGCATCTGTATATTTTGCATATACTAACTGGCCTCGTAAATCGTAAATGGTGGGGGACGCGCCGCTCGCACCTCGTCTCGCACGGTTTCTATTTTGCGTTTCTTGAATTCAGTCAGTTGCTTCACCGCGCTGAGCGGACTTGTGTAATGCTCGCGCGTGCATTTTATAATTTATTTATTTAGCATACATAGACATTTACAGTAAAAAGTATTTAATTGAGGTGATAGTGACTAAGAGGTTACAAATATCAAACATATTTTAAGTGGTTTACGGACTGTACAGTTGGTGTAGTGATTTTTTATACGAACTTGGATTCAATGTGTTGACCCCTTGTGTCTGGACGAAAAAGGCTGTGATTTTTTGATTTATAGTACACAAAACTTAAAATCCTTCATACATTTTTGACATTCAAATGAATAGTGTGAAAATAGACAAAAGTGAGATAAATCGATCTATTTGTAAAGTAGCTTTATCAGCTCTGGCACATTGACGTGAGCAGCTTTTTGAGTTGGTCGCGTAATCGTGCACACCAGCGCCATCTGTGAAGAAAGTTCCGTGTGAACTTCGCACAATCACGAGCGAGCACCACTTGCAAAAATGCTTTACGTGTCTTTACTTTCGCTGGCTAAGTTTTAGAAGTTATTCAAAGATCCAGTAGATTTTTAGTGCTTGTTGTTCAGGTATTCGATTATCCTACAATTGGTGATATTCCATGGATTCTGGTTGAGCGGTGCTGTGAAGTCTACATGGTTTTGTCGAGCGGCTGAGCCATGGCCACCGCCGAGATGAGCCTGCCTGACAAGAAGCCGGAGCACGAGTCAGGATATTACGAAGGCAGCGACCAGGAGGGCAGTATGGAGTGCGGATGCCCTTCACCTGTGAGTTCGCGGAATTCCTCTCATTCTGCTAAATTGAAGCGTCGGCACAGCGCTCAGAAACATAAGAAGGTGCCAACCAAGAAAGTCAGAACGGATCCAACAATCAACGGCCACCTAAGCACTAATAACAGGAACACTGAAGATAGTGTTGAAGTATTGGAGTGCACTGATATTCCCATTGTGAAAGACATTAAAAAAGTAGCTGAAGTTCTTCCTGTCCCTGGACCTAGTACCAAACGCAGTAGCTCTGTGGAACTTATTGGTGGCACTGTTCCTGCACCAGCTCGTGATTCTGTAGATTGGAACCTGGTGGATGCTAGTAAAATTAGAAAAAGATATAAAGGTAAGTTAATGTTTGATACATAAATTCAAAATCTCAATGTTAAATAACTAATTATCAATTATTGATGGTGAATAAAGTCAACCCATACTAAGTTGAAACATTTGTATGTAGCTAGAGTATTCTACAAAAAAGTTATACTTTTTTATTACAGTATTTAAGTATTTACTTGATAATCAAAGACAGTATGGCTTTACAATATCAAACATCTCCAAAGAGATCATATTATCATTTTCATACTAACTTATTTATGTGGGTATTCAGAGACTACAGAAACATAAGAATAAAACCAAGTGAAACACATGAAATCTCCAAAAACAAGGCCAAAATCTCTCTCATACGTTTATATCTTAATGTTTTTATATTATGCCTTCATTTATTTTATTAGGAAAACAAACTGATATTAAATCTAATACACAATACTGTAGCAATAACTGTTCACCAATTTCATGCTTTCACTTATAAAATTATTATTTTGTAATGCTTTAGTAATGTGAAAAATCTATACACAAGAAAAAAAAAACTATATAATACAATAATTTACTTCTTAAAGAACAAAATTTTTCTTTTTGCTGTGAGGGAACCAACTCTAGCCAAAACTCTAGAACAGCCTTATTGAAAGCAGCTGAATTTGAACAGAAAATGTCCACATCTGAAAAGTCAGTCAGCCGATTAAAAGCTTTTGCCGACCTAATAAAATATGAGTTTTGTCTATAATTTGTACCACTGCATGCAATGGCAGATGTGATTGAAGTCTTGTTGACCTATTAGGGACTCGTAATTGAAGTTTAGAAAGAAGATACAGGGAATCTGTTTTTGATTGAGCTATTTTGCCTAAGAGAACTATGTCTGAAGTTGTCCTTTTTGTTTGTAATGGCAATATGTGGTATCTTTTACATCTTGTCCCATAGTAGATGTCTAACACTTTGCATTTGTACAGTAGAAGTTTCATGAATTTGCACTGTATGGCCTCAAGTCTATTAATGTAAACATTGTAATGCGAATTACAAATCTGGGAACCATACACCCATATACTGTGGACATATGAACAGTAGAGGACCTTTAATACTTGAAAACTGAGACCATGATCTGAGCACAAAACTGAACATTTTGTATGCCCTTTTGGCTATATGATCTATGTGAGCAGCATAACAGAGCTTACTATCAAGTATTCATCATTATTAATGATGTTAAAAATTTATAGTTTAACTTACAATGTCATACCTACTTGGAATGTTAAATATTATTAGTTAAAAATTTAATAAATCAAATTTCAAAGGTCTTAAAGTCTTCACCATGAACATATCCATGGTAGGGCAAAGTAGAGCAGTTGCTCCACCCGTAATCCTGAATTGAAGCTAGATATGAAGTCACCAATGAATATTAATTATAAATGATCCCCGCTGTGTAATAATATTGTGACCGCATTCATTTTATATATCAAACCAAGTTTTAGCTAGTTTTTGCCAGAATTCATAATTTTACACTGATAATTATTAAAATTAAATTATCATAAAGCATTTGTAATTCATATTATTTATCTTTATCATAATATCACCCTTGTTTTTTGCCCCTCCAATAAGTAAATGCTAGGTGGTGAACTGTCATGATCTTAATCCAAGTAGACCTTTTACATAATCTTCATTTAAAAGTTGTTTAATTTAATGAGTATTGTGTGTGGGAAATATACTAAGCAAGTATTATTATTGGTACCTTACCTTTATTTATTGAACACTACAATTACCAGTTCAATTTACTGTAAAAGATCTACTTATGAAATACCACTTGGATGCTAAACCATGTTATTTATGATCAAATTATAATAAGATATTTTCCAAATATAATTTTTGGTTATAACTCGATTTTATAAATAAACTAAATACTCCACAAATAAAGATTAATCAAGATCTGCTCTAAGTGCGTGGTTTCTTGTTTCAGATAATGATTTTAACACTTTTAATCTGTCAATGCTAAAAAGCCTGCAACCTTAAACCGAAAAAACCAAAATTGTTTTTCAGAGTAGTAAAACTGGGATCCAAAAAATATTACTTCTATTTCGGAAAATGATAATGTTAAAGTTAAATATAATAATTTGGGGAAAAAGTATCTTCACATTTTAAATAAAAAATCTAAATATATTTTAATAAAGTTTATTTACATTTAATTAAAGTTTAACTAACGGTACCATTTTGTGTGAAACTTTTTGCTATAGAAATTTTGGGTCTTCTGATCAAAAAACCTGTCTACTGATGTTAACTTGACACTGCCTAAAGAATCCTGAAGACACCGAAACAGGTGGAAATCTGTAGGTGCAAGGTCAGGACTATACTGCGGATGCATTGATACCTACCTCCTAGACAAATTCTTAATTTTTGCTGAGTGGCAAAAAGACCACGCCCCTTCTTTTGTTTTATTTTGGTCCCTAGCTCTCAACTTCTTTCTTTAATCTCATCATTTGTTTGCAGTTGAGTTTAGAATCGATGGTCCTGCCTGACGGTAACAGCTGATAATATTAATAATGCCCTTCCAATACACACAGCATCACCTTGTTGCGAGTTTTCCGGGTTGCACCACAGTTTGTGTGCATGATCGACCTTTGACCACGACCTTTTTCGAACGTTCTTGTCGTACGTAATCCACACTTCATCACCAGTTGTTAGCTTCTTAAAAAATTCGGATTGGTTTTATTACGTCGTAATAAAAAATCACAAGAGTTCACGGATCATTAGGCTTCTTTCAGTGAGCTCGTGAGGTACCCAAATATCCAACTTTTTCAAAGGCGCTAAAACTGTTTTGTGGTTAATTCCTAGTTCTTCAGCTATGACGTAGCTACTGAAATGCCGATCCTCTCAATTTTTTTAAAAAATCGCATCTATTTTATCCATATCATTGCGACCGGAACGACGTGCTTCTTTGACATCAAAATTTCTGGACTCAAAACGCTTAAACCAAATTTCTGCTACTTTCACAGAAACTGCATTAGGTCCATAAACGTCACTAGTTTTTTCGCGACTTACGATGCCTTTTTACCTTTTCTGAAATAAAATTTTAAAATGTATTGAATTTCTTCATAAGATTCACTCATTTTGACTGAAAAAAAAACAAATTAAAATTACAGATCTTATGCATACTATATGCGAAAAGTCTTTTTCACCAACCTAATGTGAAATTATTATTACATAAACAGTACCATAAAGGTTTTTTGTAAATATTTGTTTTCCAAATGAGTTCCATCACCGAAGTAATGTGATAACCACTGATTCCAGTATTTTTAAAAAGCTTTAAACTAGACATTTAATGCGAGCTATACAAACCAAAAAATATTGCCCACAGTGGATCTGTTAAAAATATAATTCAAAAGTGAGTCTTAACTATCAAACAGTTTAACTAATGATGAATCTATCTCATTGTAATGAAAAATTAGATATACCTATAAAAGATAAAAAGATTTAATCCAATTTTCATTTTTTTTAATTATTTAAGATCACCAGCCCCCTCTCCATATTTAATTTGTCATGTTGTTGAAGTCATATGTATCAATCATCATATTAATGCAAACTTAACAGCGTTATATTATTGTAATACTTTATAATATAATATTCTAATGCGCATAACACAAAGAAACAAACTAAACACAAATAACAAAAGCTGTGCTGAAAGTTTTTTTTTATATAATTATTCTGTTTCTAATATAGCAAAATAAAAATGCCTCAGACTATTCATTTATATAGGCAAAAGAGACTAGTGTCTCTGTAAATTATTTTATAGTAGGTCTTTTTTTTATCACAAAACTTATATAATTCATTGCATTGTTTGTAACAAATATTCGGTATTTGAGTATGACAGTGTCATGAGATACAATTGAAAGTTTGGTATAATAACTAACTTAAAGTATTTTTGACATGACCATTAGTTTAATGATTGTTGCTTCCAAATTATTTTTATTTGTTACTTTAGGTGTACAAGAATCTAATGGCTTAAACAAAAGAAAAAATCTCGATATTCATATAGCAATATAAATTATTTACTGACAACAACGGTCAAGTCAGTGTAAATTATTGTGAATATATGTGAAAAAATGAATTTATTTTGTGAAAATGCCTAAAAAGCAATTGATATTTCAAGCAAGATATACAGTTTTAAATGTTTATAGTAAAATTTCTGAAAAGAAGCTGAAGAACAACAATTTTTTTTATTTTTGTGCATGAATTGGCCGGTAATTAGCAATGATGAGACCTTGATACTTCATTTTTTTTAAAGAATTAATTTATAAATATTCTTTGACGTGTGGACTACTACAATAAAACGAATTATTATTGAAGGAGAAAATATGATAAGATTTTTCTAACCTATCTATATATCACATTATTTATATGATTTTATGTAATTGTTTAAAAATATTATAAAATTATAATTTGAGCAGCTGTTTTGATAAACATACAATTATAAAATCTCAATTGGCAAAATTGTTGATGAAGTAATAAAAACAAAAATGTTGTCACTTGCAAGTTATCTAACTGATAATTGTTTCTCCTTGAAGATAAGAGAGAAAACATTGCCGTTTTATCTGAATCACAATAGCAAAATCTCATTTTAGTCACATCGATAAGAATATTCCATATTTAATGAAATATAAGAAATGCCACAAGTGCAGTTAGCTCTGCTGTCTATCATCATGAAATCAAGATGGCGTCTAGTGAAGCAATACCCACTAACTCTCAATTGATGTAAATAAAAAAACTACAGACCGATTGGTTAAAAAGTGAATTAATTAAATATCATTGAAAGATAAAAGTCACAAGTTTTGTCTTTGTCATAATTAAGTAAAGACCTTCTTTTGCATTGCATTTTAATACTTATTCAAGCCTTTTTCAAGAAGTAGTTTTTATAATAACTTTGCTACTTAAAGATATCATTAAGACCTTATTTACTAATTACAATTGTACTGAACCAACAAAAAAGGCTAATTTCTTAACCGTGTAGAAGAAACCTTGAAATTACTA